AAAGATTATATTTTATAAGGATTCATAACAAAAAGGGTTTTCAGTGTATTATTCGCGAATTCGTTGAGAGGGCCAGCAATGTGAGACGCCTTGTAACCAGAGTCTCCTGGGAAGGAGAGCGTGAGTTTGTGTATAGATCTATATGGGAGTGACAATCCCGCACCCTGACCATTAGGGTGACAAACGTCAGGTACGTCGTATTGTTGATCGTCCATAGTATGGTTATAAGAATCCACAGGTGAAACAACGACTCGTTTACGTAATAATAAACCTAACGAACAAACATTAAGGGTTAATAACTATGTGATAACTTAGTATATACACCAGGGTAATATGAAATTAACATCCGACTTGTAGTGGGATGTGTAATCTCCGCCTAATTTCCTGTTCCTTGTTTGGTTGTGGATTTAGGGAAGAATCACCCAATCAATCGTATGTTCGATATTGGTTTATACATAGCTAGTATGAGCTAAGTAGTTATAAAAAGAATTGGTTAATCATACATACAATAAGAAAATAATGGATTTTCTTGAGGAACACTTTTGACAGATATCAAAGGAACAATACAGTTAACTTTGCAAGTACCTAGTGAAAACTTTTGGATTATGTACATGAGGATCCGACAACCAGTGGAATGTGTGGCCTCCGCCTCACTTCCTGTTCCTTGTTTGGTTGTGGGCTTGGGGCAGAACCATACAATCGATTGTTTGTTCGATCTGGAGTGTATATGATTTGTATACACTAAGTACTCGCAGGAGGAACTGGTAAGAATCATTTTTAATTAAGGTTTATACATTCACTACATCAGAAAATATAAGGTTTTCTGGAGAAAGATAACACACTTTTCAAAAGAGTAAAGAACAGTTTTTTTTCAAAACTAAACGCTTACGAACTCACCAGCTTTATGTTGATACTCTTTCAAAACCTACTTGTATTCTCAGGACATTGGTAGACAGGTACACGCGCAGATTCAAGAAGACGGAGCATAGTAGCTTCGAGTCTTTACTTATATTTACTTTTGATGAAATTCAAGTATAAGTCAAATGTAATATAAGCATTATACTAGTAATACAATGGTTGTTGTTGCTTTGATTACTATTATTCAGATGTTGTGATACTGTACATGACGTCCTCCGCCCCCGAACGTTTCCGCCGTTTCAGTTTGGGGGTATGACAACGAAGCTGGTCTATAAGGGGGGTATAAGGTTGTTGCCTATAAAATGGCAGCTTAATGGGTGTCCACTCTCACCCACCGCTTCCTTGACTGGTGGAGGGTCGTTAGTCGAACGGGTAGGACAAGGACTATAATTCTCATTAAAAGTATAATGATGATGATAAAGTAACTAAATCTTTTATAAATTTCCAATCTTAGTTACTTTAGGAAAATGTGAATTTGGTGCTAACCCATGAAATTACACTTTGTAACTTACCAAGTCGTTAGTGGAGCGTGTGTGGTTAACCGACACACTAACATGGACTAGTAAGTGTGGCAAAGGGTAACTTAATGTTTATCATAGATCGGTGGAGTGTGTGTGGTTAACCCGCACATCGATTAGGTGATAAAGTTAAGGGTACCAAGTTAATTTGCATGGTTATTCACACCTTGTTTGTGATCCTCGGCATGCCAGTCACAAACTTGATAGGGCACAATCGATATTTAAACATGCCATTGAAAAGTTCAATGAATCTCAAAAGATCTAGGAGTTTCAGTCCAATTAAAACCTAATACTTATTTCGTTTTTCATGGTGGAAATTGGTGAATCATCATTCGCCTACCCTTAAATATTTTATAGCTTGGATTACGACATCCCTCTTCCAAGTTATAAAGTATTGTGTTGGTCCCTAGCCTTAATATTACATTTGGGTGTCTTATTAAGGATTCTTTATCTAATCTATACTTGTCTTTCTTCTTTTCAGATGTCTTCCAACAATGCTTTTGGCTCAAACCCTACCGGCTCCTTCTCTCTCATGAATCTTTGTGGAAGAGTCATCTTTGATGGTTCAAACAATAATGATTAGATCAGGAACATCAGGATGGTCACACGTTACGAGGACAAGGAATATTACTTTGATAAGGAGCTGAAAGAAATTGATGCGTCTTCTGCTACTCCACAGGAGATCGCTGACTTTAGGACTCATGAGAGAGATTCCACCAAGGTGGCATGTATCATGTTGGCCACAATGACAGTTGAACTCCAAAAGTCCTATGAGGACTTTTACCCTTTTGAGATGCAAATTGGACCTGATGGACAGATACCATCAGATTGCTCGTCAAGAGAGGTATGAAATCATCTCCTCCATGATAACAACCCGAATGAAGGATGGTGAACCCATCACGGCCCATATGCAGAAAATGTAATGGTTTGTGGACCGTTTTCTGAAGTTGAATGTGAACTTCCTTGAGGAGTTGGCTATTGACATCATACTGCACTCCTTACCTCCTTGTTATGATCAGTTCTGAATGACCTATCATAAGAACAAGGAGGAGGTCACACTCAGCAAGCTTCAAGGACTTTCGAAGACCGCCGAAAGTGGTCTCAAAGGTAAATCGGTTGTTATAACTCCTACTCCTTACACCGCTCCTGTTCTGGCAATCGGGTAAGGTAAAGGGCAAAAGTGGAAGACCCCTTCGAAGGTTACCAAGGGAAAGTCTCTTGATGGCACCTCTTCAAGTGGAACCAAAGGTGGTTCTGTCACTCCCTCTTCCAACCCAAAGAAGCTGAATGCTTCTATTCTCATGATAAGGGGCACTGGAAACGAAACTGCCCCAAGTACCGACAAGATGTTAAGGATGGGAAGGTTAAACCTACCCATGCAGGTATTTACACTATATTGTCTAATAACTCACCGCATACTAATTCTTGGGTCCTTGATACAGGTTGTGGTATTCAAATATGTTCTGATTTGCAGGGCCTAAGAAGAAGTGAGGATGTGGAGCACGGGAAGATAAACTTGATCATGGAGAATAGGAAAGCTTCACCTGTCACGAAGATTGGAGTTTATTCTTTATTGTTGAGTAGTGGGTTAATGTTAGATTTGAATAAGTATTGTTCCTCGTCTGATATGGTGAGAAATATTATTTCTTTTCACGGTTTGTACAAACAAGGATTTTTCATTTGATAATGAATGTGGTGGTATTAATGCTTTTTATAATAATGTTCTTTATTTAAAATCATTACCTTATGATGGTGTATATGAAACCGTGTCGGTTGTAGACAAATTAGGAAATAATGTGTTGCATATCGATTCTTCCACTAGTTTGGATAAGGCATCCTTGTGGCATTGTCTTCTTGGACATGTCAACAAGAAGCGCATAGGCCAACTCCAAAAGGCTGGAGTCTGGGAGTCATTTGACTTAAGGTCAGATGATAGTTGCGAATCTTGTTTACTTGGAAAAATGACTAAGTCACCCTTCACTGGTACTTGTGCTAGGTGTGAAGGTTTGTTGGACCTCCTACATACAGATGTGTGTGGACCGTTCTAAATCGCCACAAGGGATGCTAACCGCTTCTATCTGACTTTTACTGATGATTATAGTAGATATGGCTGTGTCTACTTAATAGAGCATAAGTCAGAAACCTTTGAGAAATTCAAAGAGTTTAAACAGGAAGTGGAGAATCAATTGGGCAGGAAGATAAAGATTCGTCGATCCAATCGAAGTGGTGAATATCTTAGTATCAAGTTCCTTGACTATCTAAAGGAATGTGGAATTGTTTCACAATTGACACCTCCCAGGACATCACAGCTGAATGGTGTAGCTGAGAAGCGTAATCGGACCTTGTTAGACATGGTTAGTTCCATGATGAGTCGAGCTTCGTTACCAAACTCATTCCGGGGGTATGCCTTAGAGACTGCCGCCCATATCCTTAATTTAGTCCCTACCAAGAAGGTTGCCAAAACACCTCACGAGATGTGGACTGGGAAAGTTCCCAATTTAGACCACATCAAGATTTGTGGTTGTGAGGCTTTCATGAGACGTGAGACTCACGACAAGCTCGAACCTCATAGTGAGCGGTGTATTTTCATCGGCTACCCACAAAAATCCTTTGGTTACCTCTTCAATAGACCTAGTGAAAATATGGTCTTTGTAGCAAGGAGTGGTGTCTTTCGTGAGAGAGAATTCATAAGCCAAGGAAACAGTGGGAGGAAAATTGACTTTGAAGAGCTTCAATAGTCGAGCGATGAAGGAACCTCAAACACTAGCAATCAACCTGAGGAGGAAACTCCTGTTGAACCAACTGACGAGTCTGTACCTCTGAGGCGTTCCACTAGAGTTTTAAATCCGCCTGAGCATTATTATGGTTTCCATATTACTACGGAAGGTGATACATTTATCAGTGATAGTACACTGGTAAATCTGGATGAACCTAACAGCTTTAAGGAAGCCATGGCAGGCCCTGAGTCTGCTAAATGGAAACAGGCTATGGATAGCGAGATTCAGTCCATGTCTGACAATCAAGTTTGGAACTTGGTTGACAATGTAGCGGGTCGTAAGACAGTCGGGTGCAAATGGATCTTCAAGAAGAAGATTGACATGGATGGGAAAGTGCACACTTATAAGGCGCGACTGGTTGCGAAGGGCTTCACCCGAAGTCATGGTGTTGACTATGATGAAACCTTCTCACCAGTAGCGAAAATTAAGTCTATGGATGAGCAAACGGACTGGGGAACCGGCCAGAACCGGTCCAAGAACCGGAACCCGATGGACCCGGTCGGGCCGGGACCGGTATTATAATTTTGTGAATTTTTGGAACCGGGACCCGGTAAGAACCGACCCTTGGAACCGGACTGGATAGTCTTTACAAAACATCCCATGCCTTTGTCGCTTGCACTTTTTTAGAGGATTCTTTTTTAGATCCAAATTATCAAAGCTAAACAGTAGATATTGATAAGCAAACCACGGTGTTTAGCATTATGTATTTTCGTAAAATACATCTTCGAAATACAATTCTCCCCATTCCTATAATTTTCACAAAATGATAAAATTCAAACAGCTTAATCTATTCAGCCTTCTTATCTTTCTTTGGAGATTTAGCATCTTTAGAAGGACTTGATGGCTCCTTAGCAACAGTCTTCTTTGGCAACAAAATAGGACTGGTATTTGGAAGAACACCACCATGAGCAATCGTAACTCCACCCAGTAATTTCCTAAGCTCCTCATCGTTTCTAATGGCCAACAGAAGATGCCTTGGAATGATTCTGGTTTTCTTGTTGTCCCTAGCCGCATTTCCAGCTAACTCTAGCACCTGCAGTAAACAACAATCAAGCATATTAGAAAAATAATCCATGAATTATAATCTATATCAAACAAACAAAGCTTTAGAAATCAGATCTAAGCTCCATTTTCTTTGTTTAATTCATAATCAAGCCAGTTAACATCAATTTACAATATCCCTAACGCAAATACGTTGCTATTTGTCGAAGACCGGTTCCGAAATCGAAAATCCGGCAAAAACCGGACCCGGAACCGGAACCGGTAGAACCGCCGGGCCGGTTCGGTTCTTGATTTTGGTCGATGCCGGTTCCCGGTTCGGGTCCGGGTCGGGCCGGTTCTGGCCGGTTCGGTCCTTTTGCTCATGCCTAATTAAGTCTATTAGGGTTATGCTAGCCATTGCTGCATTTCATGATTATGAAATATGGCACATGGATATCAAAACCGCTTTCCTTAATGGAAAGTTGGTTGAGGATGTTAACATGAGTCAGCCAGAGGGTTTTATCAATTCAAAATACCCTAATAAAGTGTGTAAGCTTGAGAAATCCATTTATGGATTGAAACAAGCATCTCGCAGCTGGAATCTTTGTTTTGATGAGAAAGTCAAAGAGTTTGGTTTTTCGAGAAGCGAGGATGAGTCATGTGTATATGTCAGAGCTAGTGGGAGTATGGTTAGCTTTTTGGTACTGTATGTGGATGACATACTACTCATGGGAAATGACATCCCAACTTTGCAGGAGATTAAGTCCCGGCTTGGGAAGTGTTTCGCTATGAAGGACCTTGGAGAAGCTGCATATATCCTAGGGATAAAGATATTGAGACATAGGAGTAAAAGACTAATTGGACTTAGTCAGGTTACCTACTTGGACAAGGTGTTGAAAAGGTTCAACATGTAGAATTCCAAGAAAGGTGATTTACCGATCCAAAGCAATGCCAAACTGAGCAAGGCTCAGAGTCCGAGTACAGAGGCTAAGATAGCTGAGATGAGTCGATTACCATATGCTTCTGTTGTTGGCTCGGTCATGTATGCTATGACTTGTACCCGCCCTGATGTGGCCCTTGCTTTGAGTATGGTCAGCAGGTATCAGGGGAATCCTGGAAAAGCTCATTGGACTGCGGTGAAGAACATTCTCAAGTACATGTGGAGGACTAAGGACTAGGTCCTTACCCTTGGTGGGAGTGATGACTTGAGAGTAGTGGGGTATAGTTACGCAAGCTTTCAGACTGATAGGGATAATTTCCGCTCTCAGTCGGGCTGGGACTTTACTATGAATGGAGGAGCGATTACTCGGAAAAGTTCCAAGCAGGAGACAGTAGCTGATTCGACATGTGAATCAGAGTACATAATAGCGAGTGAAGCTGCGAAGGAGGCAATAGTGCGGTTGCCTTAGCCTAGGAACCGAGAGATCGACGCATATCCAGACACATTGACAGAAAATATCACTTCATAAGACACAAGATAGAAGAAGGACTCATTATGGCAAAGAGGGTATCGTCAGAAGAGAACCCAACAGATCCCCTCATGAAGGGACTGACTAGGGTTAGGCATTTGCAGCATGCGAGGCGCATCGGCCTGAAGGACAATATTAGTATTACAGATTAGATAGCTATTTCTGAAACTTGTAAAATGTAACTGACATGTGATGATTAAATAAAAGTTGTTGTTTATTTATAAGTAAGGTGTTGCTATCTTGTGTCAATCGTTTACTATTGTTTCAACTTTTCATGTTTTGACTTCTAGAATAATTACTTTTTTCAAACTCTCCACAGTCAATCATGCTTTGGAAGTAGGTATGAATCAAGACTGCCATGAATTGGGCTTGTAGATGTCTAAGGTGTTGGACATAGCAAAAGTTGCTACAACATTCATAAGTGCTCATAAGTTCTGAGTATTGGATTAAACCCACTTCATATAATTCTTCAAACCTAGAGATATGAGTTGTAGACTGTGATTTGGTTGTACATTGATTGTACGAAAACGCATCAGTAACTTCATGTTATAAAACGTGCCTTTGTGTATGATTCAACAAGTAGTTAGTACAAGCATATGAGTCGAAGTTTATCTGTTCCTTTTAGTCCTTGGAGGATTAAAAGCGAAATCTAGGCCCCTCGATGATTTTGTTTTGACCTATGTGTCGGGCCCGGTCAGAACCAAATTGATGTGTTCAGTTTAGTTCTATGTCAAACAAATCGAAAATCGGGAAACAAATAGTTGGACAATAAGTATGACGTTGTTCCATGTATTTGTCCGGCTGATATCATGAACAGAGGATTATATGATCACTTATCTAAAATGGCACTTCATAGTTCAACAGAGTTTTAAGATCTACGATTGCTGGTCGGTTCCTGAAGTCATACTTGCAACTATAGTTATCAGACTTATCCAAGTGAGAGACTGTTGGATAAGGTGTCTAAGTCCATAACTATATTTGGTATGTACTTGACCCGACCCGGCATGGTCCATTTGCGATGCACTTCATCAAAACAATTTGTATGGATAATCTTTTGAGAATAGTATATTTATGATTTATTAATATATTATAAGTTATAATATATTAATATGAAATCATATTATTTAATTAGTATTGATCAAGAATTTATTTGGAATTAAATTAGTGATCAATAGGAAACTAACTAAATATGGACTCTTATATATATGGAATGGGCCAATGTTTATTTAGGATGGGCTAAGCTTGCATGGAAGTCCATGGATAGTCCATGGAGCTTTTAACCCATGGATCCTATGGAAATTAAAGGTCATGGGTAATAGGGTTTACATGGATGTAACCCTAATCCATCATACTATATAAAGAGGTCTTTGGCGCATGAAATGGCACTAGAGTGTGTGATAGAAAAGGTAGGCTGATTTCTAGTGTGCATTACTATTCTCTCAAGTTTTCCAAGTTGTGTGGTGATTTGTGATTCCAGTTGAGGCATCCACATTATTGGTGCTAGGCTCTTGAAGCTCCAAGCAATAAACCACAAGAAAAAGGTTTGTCATCCTACTAAGTTTTTATATTACAAGTACCCCATAACATGCTAGTTAGGATGAGAACCTTGGAAAAATCAAATTTGCATGTATATTAGAGAAAACATAGATCCAAGGTTTCTAGGGTTGCATGTACACCATAAGAGTATTAGAATGCTCAAAACCCATCAATGGTTTCATATTAAAATAATGATTGCAACATTATGATGTTTGATTTATGTCCACAAGTGGATCTCAAGCTTTACACATTTTTTCAGGATAACATGGATTAAGAAAACCACCAGGCTAATCTATATAGATATCTTCTAGTTGATGTCTATTTAGGAAAGTGGTCTTTCTTGAAATCTATTTGCTATATTTCATATTGAGAATATGAATTTATAGTAAACAATATCCTTGTTGATCTAATCATAGCTACTTGTGAGAAAGGTTTGATCATAGTTAATATGATGAGTATGAGAAAATCCTTTTATAACAAGTCTTGCTTTAAATGTGTATGGTTATCCATGTAATAATTTCTTTCTAGAATAATCACTTACTCCTTCTAGCCTTGTTATAGGGAGGAAGTTCAATCAGGACCATACTTGATTATCATACATGGATTACCTCTCACGTTCATGAATCTAAGTCATTAATTAGATTCGAGATCTTGACATATCATCTTGGTATTTCATCGATTTTCTAGAAATCATCAATGAGAGATTACATATTTCTCAAGTCATAAATGATTTCTACCACTAATGCGAACAATTTGTGTTTATGAATAGCTATTATTCAAGTTTAACAATCCCTTGTTAAAATTAGTGCCAACTATAACTACATCAAGTTATGGTTCTTGAGTTGCTTCAAGTTCCATGTACCACCCACTTGCTTTCTCATTAGAAGCTTGCTTTCTGCTAACTCAGCTATCGGAGGAATAAGAGAACTTATTCTTGGTAGGTTTGAATATAATAATCTAAGTCACGTTTATAATATTATTTAATATGTATTTAGTAGATTTTGGGTTTAAAAGCCTTAGTTCATAATAAGTTTTAAATCCATAAAACATTTGTTGGATTAGTGTCTAAGTCCATAACTATAATTCGTATGTACTTGACCCGATTTGGCATGGTCCATTTGGGTTTCATGGCATCGGAACAATTTCGATAGACTTTTGTGAGAAAAGGATATATATGATTTGTTAATATATTATAAGTTCTAATATATTAATATGAAATCATATTATTTAATTAGTATTGATCAAGAATTAATTTGGAATTAATTTTGTGATCAAAAGGAAACTAATTAAATATATGGGGATTGACTGTGTAAATCATTCATTCTTATATATGTGGGCTTATGATCCATAGCTCTTCATGTTGGGCTACCCCATGGATACTCCATGGAGCATGAAGAATATGGAAAGACATGAGTTACACGGTGTAACCCTAATAGCCACAATATATAAGGACCCCATGGCTCAAGAAATCGGACTAAGGGTTTCACATATGAGAGATAGCCGATATGAGCATAAGAACTTCTCACTCAAGTTATTCCAAGTTGTTGGTGGTGTTGTGTGAACCATTTGAGGTGTCACACTTGAGGCACTGAGCTCTTAAGCTCCATAGAATCAAGCTACAACATCAAAAGGTATGTCATTCTACTAGATTCTTGTAGTATAGTTGCTTTATATAGTGCTACTTATGAAGAAACCTTGGAATATCAATTATTTGCATGTATAATAGAGAAAACATAGATCCAAGGTTTATAGGGTTGCATGTACACCATAGGAGTGTTAGAATGTTGAAAACCCATCAGTGGTATCAGAGCCTAGGGTTGTTTTCAATTATACTTGATGCAACTTATTTTTGAAAGCTGAGAATCTGCCCAGACTGAAAACTCGACGAGTTCTGCCTATATACTCGATGAGTTCATGTGTTAAGGCATGAACCCGACGAGTTCTTGTAAGGAACTCGACGAGTTTGTCTTCCAGTTGGCAGATTTTCGTGTTTTAACGCTGGAATTGGTCTAGAATCATTACCTTAAACTATTTTGGACTTATAAAACCTGTTTTTGATGTGGTAATGATT